AAGATTCGGAAGGGAATGATTCAGATTCCTCTTGGCACAGCTACTAGAAGACGTACAGGTTGCTCACGTCACATCTACATCGTCAAGCTCAGTTTGAGCCTGCGCAGTGCGCTTGGCAATCAGGAAGTGAGTGCTTCTAATTGACTTCACTTTTCTCCGTTGAAGTCTATGTGTGTCCATTTCTTTTACTAGCTATGGTTGGACACCGTTTCCAGGAAACATGTCGTTCAACCTGGAAACTGTAGCAAAACGTTGCGCACCGGTTTGAGCTTGAACGTGCCCCAGGTTTTCTGGTCTTAGCTGGTTTTGGATGATGTCTCCACCTGCCCAGCTGGAAACCCCCCTCTAAAAATCAGCCTACTGATCAACAAATAAGATTGGTTTTGCCTGTGCAGTGATAAATGTTAAGTTTTAGAAGAAAAGGTTCTAAAGGGTTCTGTCTGATTGAACCTTTTAAGGGTTCCCAGGCATTCTTTCTTTAGCCCTAATAGTTTGTCCAAAAAATTAATTACTGCCATTTACTCACCCTCAACAGGTTTATGGAACAAAGTGAGGGTGAGTAGACTAAAATGATGACAGATTTTTCTTTTTTGGGTAAACTATCCCTTTAAATCAGTTTTAAAGAATCCAAGGAGAAATGTCTTAAATTATTTCATAATACTTTTGTGTTTAATGGGTTATTTCGTTTCTAGTTATATGTCTGTGAGCTGTATAATGTTTTATAAAATTAATTAAAACTAAATTGACTAATCCCCCCCCCACCCACCCATATTTAAATGTCCAGTTTTAAATACAGTTTGTCACATCAAAACGTATTACTCACCTTGAAGTAAACTAAGATTGTCTCCTACTAAACTTTTATTTAGGGGAAAACAATCTTTTAATATTAATTCAACCAATTTAAAATTGAATCAACCATTAAATAGCCTACATGAATGTTTCGCCAAACATGATTAGCCTACATTCGGGTCTTATAGCGGCCCGGATCTATATTTAACACGCATAGACTCTACCTGTCGATATGATATAAAACTCTCATGATATTAGAGTAACAATTACAGAAGACTAAAATAAAGCATATTTTGTTACCTTTTGGAGCTTGGAAGGGTTCAGTGTGAGCAGATGTTTTATACCATCATCACTGTTCTCATCAGAGCTTTCCCAGTATACACATTCAGCATCTGGCTCATATTCGCAATCTCAAACATATTCTCAAAACTATCATTTATAACATCTTCAAAATCATTATTTTGATAGCTGACAGCTTCTTCACCAGATCCACCATCAAGTGACAGTGAGTGACACAAATTTGATAGCGTTCAGTACTTGCTCTGCAGTAGGCCTAAATCGCTGAGCCATTTCAAGTTTTGGAGATGATACTTCTATTCTTCTGTTTTCTGCATGCGGTAACTATAAGACATTGCCACCTTGTGGAATAAACGGGAATTACACTTATTCAGTCATCAAAGATTCAATTATTGTTGTGCAGAAAAAATATATACTTACACCATTACACACCTCGGGTCGTTAGAAACCCTATACATTTTTTTAAATGAATGGGAAAACAAGCATTCTTTTATAATTTTTTTCTTGGTATATTGTTTATAATTAATTGATTGAGGAATAATAGGTTGATGTCTAACTTTAAAACCTGAATGAGGATGAGGGTAGTGAATGAAGTCCCGGGTCACTAAAGACCCAAGGACCAAAAAATACCCTAACAATCCATTATCATGATATTATGTGTGAGTGTGTGTTGAAAAAACAATGGAAAGATTTTTGGAAAGATTTTAATAGTTATTGAATGTTCTACATCTTACAGTAAATATTATACAATTACAAACTTGGCTTAATTATGTCACAGAGATCACTAACTGATCTTCAAAAAAAAAAAAAAAAATAATAATAAAAAAACCCCCAAAATAATAAAAACAGTTTTACACTTCATTTCACAAGCCTGATGCGGGTCTCCTTGCTCAAACGGTATACAGCACGGCCTGGACGGCACTGGCGAAAACGCGCTCGGACCTGCCAGAACCTCGATGGTGCCAGAACCGTGCTGTCGTGCGTAATGCATACTATGGGGGCAAGGACTCTTTAACACTCACTGAAGGGAGATCAATTCTGGAAGACTTTCCCCTTTTTGCTTTACATTTAGAATGCAAACAACAAAGCCTTATTCTCTATATGGGTCAAACATTAATAGCCAATTTCCTAAACAGTAGCGTGAAATAGCAACCTCTTGTATGTTTGCGTCAAAGCCTATGGTACATATCAGGTTTTCAGCAAGAGTGTGAAACCAGTGCCACAATTACTTTAGAAATACCTTTACATACTGGTGACGTGACACTGACTTCACTAGAGCTAATAACCCGTTGCATGCATCACGGGCGCTAGTTAACAATCCTTTGATCGATGCCCTGAAACCAAAGAACAGAAGAGTGCATGGGTTTGCAATATCGACATCACATGTTCTCAATACGCTCGAAACAGAAAAAAACAAACAGAAAATTGAAGCCTGGTCCACATCACGCCGAGTGAAAATGACTCCGTTTACGACTGATTCAGAAAACAAACACCTGATTTCACACAGAAAACAGATTTTAAAATGGGAGAAATACATCAAAATGTATAATGTGTGGTGAGTGGGAAAATATCTGAGTACTGATATTGGGAAAAAAAACCTTTTCTGTTCAGGATTAAAGGAATAAATCACCCAAAAATAAAAGTTCTGTTATTATTTTTTCTTCTTCAGTGGAAAGGAGATGTTTTTTGTTTGTTTGTTGCAGAATGTTCACACTGCTTTCCTTTTTGGATGATCTAGCCCTTTAAATTCACCATGACCCAGTGTTAAAATGTTTTACATCCCAGTAACTAAGACAGCTTTGCTCTTATCCAATTTGCACAAAAAGAATTTGCCACCATTTTAATCATACACTCTCAAAAATAAAGGTGCCAAAATGAGGTTTGAATATTTTTTTTTTCCACTGTAAAGAACCTTTTGTACAATGGAAAGGTTCCATGGATGTTAAAGGTTCTTCATGAAACTATATGCCAATAAAGAACCTTGATTTTTAAGAGTGTAGCAGCAGATTGCTGAACTCTGTCCCTCCCGTCATTGCAAGAAGAAGAAGAAGAAGAAGAAGAAGAAGAAGAAGAAGAGAAAGACAGATTAGGGAAAGGCATGTAGACGAAGAGGAAACCTTTTAAAGACTTGTGCTCTGAAATGCCTCTCAACCACATGGACTGCATCACTCCACTCCAGATCAACTATAAAGATCTTCTATTTAAGAAAAATGAACATCAATCATTAATTAAAACTTTAAATAACACTTACGTAAAAAGCGCCTAAATTACATGTCAGAGTGGATGGTAACGTCCTCTCATTCTGAATCGACCCTTTTTTCATTCGCAGTGTAAAAGGTCACTCTAGTCCTAGAGTTCAGAGGTCTGACGGATCAGCCAATGTTTAATATGTCGACTACAGCGATTAGTTGCATCGATCAAGTCTTGTGATGCAAACTTATGAAAAGACAAAGGAAATATAGTTCACTGCGTGATATAATACTGTATAAGATCAGCTGGAAAAAAAGGAAAGAGTAGGGCAGAGAGGGCATGAAAATGACATCATATGTCATCAAAACAGCTACCGAGGAACATAGTATGTGAATTTGCTGTGAATTCATCCAATAATCGGTTTGAATAATTTGCATTACTTATTGATGACATCATGCCAATAAAAAAAAATGCATCGTTACACAAATATTACATATACCAAAGGCCTCTTGACTTGCTTTAGCCAAATAAGATCTGCTCTTATTAAAGGCAAATGATTATACTGTAGTATATAATGCAATGAAGTTACAGTAATTTTCAGATGAATCTCACATAATTGGTAAAGAACTTATTTTACGTAAAGAAAATGAAGCCTATTTTTATTATTATTTTCATTACAATTTCCTCTTGAAATTCTGATATATTATTTATGAATCATGATCATATTTATTTAGCTGTCTTGGTTGATTTTACATTTTCATAAAGTAAAATTACAATATTGCAGAGATTCTAATGAGAATCACTATTGAGAATTAAACAATAATAATGATAAAAATACAGGATAATTGTTTTGAAAATAAAGCAAAAAAAAAAGCAAAAAATTGGCTTCATTTTATTTATGTGAAATATTTTTTTCCTATGTTTTTGGGATTCAGACACTCTGCGCCCTCCCCCCCTCTCTCTCTCTCTCTCTCTCTCTCTCTCCCTTTACTTAAAACACCCAAGGGAATGTGCTGTAAAGTAAACGTATTATTAAAAGCAATCCATAAGCTGTGATTCAACATGATGCAACCATGCTTTGCAAAGGCATAGTTTCCATCTGATTACACTATACTGCATTCACCCGCATGACACATGCATTACTAGACGTTATTACTTTCACATAAGATCAGAGAATCGGTTCTTCCCACTTTGAGTGTACTATATATCGAAATAGTGGTTGATCAGCCAAACAAATAACAAAAAAGAGAGTGATACTGTTCTGTACTGACAATAATATTACTTCCAGAGACATTACCAAGACTAACGGTTTGCAGAGTAAATGCTTGATTTCCTTAACTACATCATTAAATATGAGAGTGTACCGTATAATTGGTTATTAAGTTATGTCTATTTGTCAATGTGCAATGCTTCAGTATGATAACATTTCATAGAATACTTGATATGTCACTTCTGAGTACATTATTCATGGATACAGACGAGGCCTTGGGATAGGAAATCAAAATTCTCTCTCTCTCTCTCTAAAAATGCTGTAAATTACAATTAAAAGCCATTCAAGCAGGCCGTTCTTATTATTGCATTGAACAACTCCGTTTCTAAGCCTAAAATCTGTGCAACTACAGGCCTAAAGGCCCAAGAATTCACAGAGGACCAGGGGTTAGACCCACTCTAAACCCGGAGCTGATTGGAGATTAATGCCGGAACGCCTTCCCTTCCTTTTTTCATTTATTTCTTTTTTGCTTTCAGTGCTATTTTCGATGCGATAAAGTCCCTTTGAATCCTGGATGCGGTTCTAATTGTTCTGTCAGAGTAGCGTCCGTCCTGTCTGGCCTCAAAGTTGGCACACGCTTTGATCAAGTACAATGCCACCGGGATGACATCGCACCCAGAGGCTCCAGCTAAGTGCCACTGATAGTTTTTTTTCCTCAATATTCTCCGCGAATGGGTTCGCACGTGAGCGCATGCTCGCGTGCCGCTGCGTTCCCTGCGAGAGCACCCATGCGCGCACGTTTATATAAATCGAATATACACGTTATAGTTTAGAAGCTTACGCTATCCTGACACATAGGCTAATAAAGTAACCAGCTCACTCAAACGTTCTCTATTTAGTGAATAACTAAGATTACTGTATGTACTCGTTATCCTAATGAAGGTTAAACCACGTTTGCACTGCCCTACTAATGATATATTCCTTACAAATCTACATGAACAGCTACAAGCTGGAAGACACCCTTGTTATCGATGATAGAATGAAATGAGGGAGAATTGAATCAGATGAAATAAAATTTCCTTTAAAAAAAAAAATCAATGATTCCAGAGCGTTCTGTGCGAGAACGGAGAAAGCTGAAATGAAACGCCGCTGTAAATAAATAATAATAAAAAAACAAAACAAAAAATGAACCCTGTGCTAATATCTAAAGGTTATAAAATTTGGCAGCATAATTGAATGATTATGATCCGAAGAGTTGCTGATATTGCGTCGGTACATTCCTACACACCAGCGTTTATACTGAACACAAAGACAAATCGTTTGAAGAGGCGTGATTGGTCGAAATCATTCTGGAGTTCTGACAGAAGTAACTATGGAACAATGAAGAATTAAAATAACCTAATGCAAGAACATCATCCCAAAAAATGAGAAGAAAAAAAAAAATTTAAAATTAAATAAAAAAGATAAAAAAGCAGCTTTTACAAAAACACGTAAGAATGCATAAAGTGACCCTTGCACTTTTTTCTCTTTTGTTCTTGCAAACAGACGTGGCACCTCCTTGTTGAGCACAGAGTGCCGATGTAAGACTTGAGTAGTTGCATACAATGTTTGACTCCAGATCTGCAATGAAGAGAGAGAGAGAGAGAGAGAAAACGAGAAGTCGTCAGCGACTGCATTTCACTGGTTGGGTGGAGCCACGCTGAATGTGTAGTGTGGGCGGGAACTCACATGATTGGCAGGTGGGCTCTACCAGTGAGGTGGGACATAGCTGTATCCAGGTGTTCCTTGGGGTCGGTACGTTGGCACGGTGACGGGGTGTCCTCCGATCTGAGTGTGCTGAGGGGTGGTCAGCAAGGTTCCTGTAATATAACAGGCATGTTAGTGTTTTCACCCCCTAAAAATGGTTTTATATATATATATATATATATGGGCCTTAGGCTGGCCACAGACCCCCAATACAGTAAAACTGCACATTTTAGAGTGGCCTTTTATTGTGGCCAGCCTAAGGCACACCTGTGCAATAATCAGCATCTTGATATGCCACACCTGTGAGGGGGATGGATTATCTCGGCAAAGGAGAAGTGCTCACTAACACAGATTAGACAGATTTGTGAACAATATTTGAGAGAAATAGGCCTTTTGTGTACATAGAAAAAGTATTCGATCTTTGAGTTCAGCTCATGAAAAATGGGGGCAAAAACAAAAGTGTTGCATTTATAAGTTTGTTCAGTGTATATCTATTTTATTAAAAAATAATATACATAATATTTAAATAATAATACTCTCTTTCTCTCTTATATATATATTAGGGCTGTCGATTTAACGCGTTTATTTAATTAATTAAATATGGAAAAATAATGTGAATAAAATGATTAAACACACTCACCCCAGAGCTAGGTAGGTCATCTTCTTACATTTCATACAGTTGATTGGAGCATACAGAATCATTTCTTAGCATCAACAATATTATCAATTTTGAGCTTTTTACCTGCAGACATGGCCATCGTTGTTCCGGCCACCATGCCCATGGCCATGCCGTTGGAGCGGGGCGCAGGTACAGGAGCGGGGTAGATGGCGGAGGGGATGCTGTTGGGCTGGACCACGGTGGTGTGGTGAATTACATGAGGCTGGGCGGCGTACACTGGCTGTGTGTAATAAGCACCCTGAGAAGATGATTATAATGCATTAGTTACAAGTAGCTAAAAGGTTGTATGTTCAAAACGTGTAAGGGGTGACCCATTGTATTGCATAGTGGGTGTTACGGAATCAAATTCTAATACTGTGATGGTGCAGTGGTATAGTGATGGTATCAGATCCTAATACCATGTTACTTTATTATAGAGGTGCACCGATGCCACCTTTTCCAGAACGATTCCGATACCTTCATTTTTGGTACTTACCAAGACCGTGTACTGATACCTGTATATGCATTGCATTGGTGATTTTTTTAAATATTAGGTAGAGAAACCAAAAGAATATGAATCATTTTAGTTGGCTTAATTCGTTTAGCAAATAGATATTCCTACAGGGCAGTATTTCACCCGAGGTGTGTATTATTTTTCTAATAATTCAAAGGCCCGTCGTCAATTATTCCTTACTAGGGCAGCACGATTAAATCGCAATTACCATTAAATCGTGCTTAAACTGATTTGGTTTATTGCGATTATGAAATAGCAAAGGCTGCGATTATTTGTTATGCGCAATTTGTCAGTGACGGACGGCAGTAGTAAATGCTGCAGCGAGTTTGAGTCGCTTATGACGTGAATTTGAAAAAGCAACATGCGCCAAACATCTTTCCAAACATGAGAAGCATTTATGAACCTCTTGTCCAACAAAGGACAACATAAAAAAAAAAAAATTAATCATAGCTTTTAATCTTCTATTTATTCAGATACAGCGATAGTATGATGCCCATAGGGATTTCCTGGAATGACGTGTGTTGTCTACTTCTGTGGCCAGGCATATTTGGAGTGTCTGCGTGAGAGCGCCCTCTGGTTTTCAGCATTTACTACTGCATTTCTCACAGAGCCGTGCTGCACTGACAAGCTGCGCATAAAATAAATTGCAGCCTTTGCCAAAATGACGTGCGGTTTCATTTTGATTAATCGTGCACCCCTAATCCTTACTTATCTTTCATTTGATAGCAAAGTGAATATTTAGAGCTGCGCCAGCAGGGCTCAATAACAAGGATTTTTTTTCCCACTGGTCGGTCAAATTCTTACAGTGGGGAGAACAAGTATTTGATACATTGCTGATTTTGCAGGTTTTCCCACTTACAAAGCATGTCTTCAACTGTGAGTGGCGGAATCTAAAACAAAAATCCAGAAAATCACATTGTATGATTTTTAAGTAATTAATTTGCAATTTATTGCATGACATAAGTATTTGATACATTAGAAAAGCAGAGCTTAATATTTGGTACAGAAACCTTTGTTTGCAATTACAGAGATCATACGTTTCCTGTAGTTCTTGACCAGGTTTGCACACACTGCAGCAGGGATTTTGGCCCACTCCTCCATTCAGACCTTCTCTAGATCCTTCAGGTTTCGGGGCTGTCGCTGGGCAATACGGACTTTCAGCTCCCTCCAAAGATTTTCTAGGGTTCAGGTCTGGAGACTGTCTAGGCCACTCCAGGACCTTGAGATGCTTCTTTAGAAGCCACTCCTTAGTTGCCCTGGCTGTGTGTTTCGGGTCGTTGTCATGCTAGAAGACCCAGCCACGACCCATCTTCAATGCTCTTACTGAGGGAAGGAGGTTGTTGGCCAAGATCTCGCGATACATGGCCCCATCCATCCTCCCCTCAATACGATGCAGTCGTCCTGTCCCCTTTGCAGAAAAGCATCCCCAAAGAATGATGTTTCCACCTCCATGCTTCACGGTTGGGATGGTGTTCTTGGGGTTGTACTTATCCTTCTTCCTCCAAACACGGCAAGTGGAGTTTAGACCAAAAAGCTCAATTTTTGTCTCATCAGACCACATGACCTTCTCCCATTCCTCCTCTGGATCATCCAGATGGTCATTGGCAAACTTCAGACGGGCCTGGGCATGCGCTGGCTTAAGCAGGGGGACCTTGCGTGCGCTGCAGTATTTTAATCCATGACGGCGTAGTGTGTTACTAATGGTTTTCTTTGAGACTGTGGTCCCAGCTCTCTTCAGGTCATTGACCAGGTCCTGCCATGTAGTTCTGGGCTGATCCCTCACCTTCCTCATGATCATTGATGCCCCACGAGGTGAGATCTTGCATGGATCCCCAGACCGAGGGAGATTGACCGTCATCTTGAACTTCTTCCATTTTCTAATGATTGCGCCAACTGTTGTTGCCTTCTCACCAAGCTGCTTGCCTATTGTCCTGCAGCCCATCCCAGCCTTGTGCAGGTCTACAATTTTATATCTGATGTCCTTACACAGCTCTCTGGTCTTGGCCATTGTGGAGAGGTTGGAGTCTGTTTGATTGAGTGTGTGGACAGGTGTCTTTTATACAGGTAATGGGTTCAAACAGGTGCAGTTAATACAGGTAATGAGTGGAGAACAGGAGGGCTTCTTAAAGAGAAACTAACAGGTCTGTAAAGCCGGAATTCTTACTGGTTGGTAGGTGATCAAATACTTATGTCAAGCAATAAAATGCAAATGAATTACTTAAAAATCATACAATGTGATTTTCTGGATTTTTGTTTTAGATTCCGTCACTCACAGTTGAAGAGTGATAAAATGATAAAAATTACAGACTTCTACATGCTTTGTAAGTGGGAAAACCTGCAAAATCGGCAGTGTAACAAATACTTGTTCTCCCCACTGTAGATACCAGTGAAACATCACAATTTTCAGGTACAGAAATTGAACGAAGTAATGAAATAACACTGCATAGTCTTCACTAGGCATGCACCGATACTTTGCACACATGATTTGAATTAAAACTAAACCGTATGTGCACGTAAAAACATGAACAGTTAAGTGATGTGTATGCGAGTGGTTTCCAACAGTATTACAGGAAGGCAGTACAGTAATCACAGGACGTTTTCAAGAGGTTTTCTGTGCGCAAACATCCAAAGCTCGCGGCCAGAATGTTGCCTCTCAGCGTGGAAATAGCCTATTAAATCGAGTTCTCTTTCATGTCGTCTTGTGCTTTAACTGAGAAATTCACACAAAATTACGTCAAAATGCCTGTATAGTCAAGTATCCTTGTGAAACATAGTCGGTTATGTCTTAAAGGGATACTCCACCCAAAAATGAAAATTCTGTCATCATTTACTCACCCTCAAGTTGCTGCAAACCTGTATGAGTTTCTTTCTTCTGCTGAACACAAAGGAAGATATTTTGAAGAACGATTGGAACTTTGGCACCATTGACTTCCATAGTATTTTTTTTTTCTACTATGGAAGTCAATGGTGCCAAACAACAGTTTGGTTCCAATCGTTCTTCAAAATATCTTCATTTGTGTTCAGCAGAAGAAAGAAACTCATACAGGTTTGCAGCAACTTGAGGGTGAGTAAATGATGACAGAATTTTCATTTTTGGGTGGAGTATCCCTTTAAGTGAACGTAAACAGTTGAAAAGAAAACAGTATGTTGGATAAATGACGCTCTTAAAGTGACAGCAGCCTAATAAACCTTCTGCTGTCTTTGTCCTCAATGTTAATCTAACAACAAAAGACAGATAAAACCACTCACTGCTCTGACTGGTTGAGCCTTGCTGGAGCAGCTTTAAATATTCACTGTGCTATTAAATTAAAGATAAAATAAGATAGAGCAATAGTGAAAGTAACAGTAGCTCCTACAATACATTTTAACAGGCATAATTAGGCATGAAAATAACTGAAGGAAATATCTATTGGCTAAGCCAAATAATTCGATTCGTATTCTTTTGGTTTCTCTGCCCAATAATATAACATAATTCAAAAACTCGGTAACTTGGTATCGGTACTCTGTGTCAGCAAGTAGTAAAAATAAAAGTATCGTATCGGACTCGTTCTGGAAAAAGTGGTATCTGTGCATCATTAGTTTTCACTGTGTAATTTAAATATAGAATAATCCTTATCAAAGTTACACAAGTAATTCAGTCAAGAGCAGTGAGTGGTTTTCTCTTTGTCTTTTGTTGTTAGATGAACAAAGACAGCAGTATGTTTATTAGGCTGCTGTCACTTTAAGAGCTGCACGTATCCAACATTCTGTTACACATGCGTTTTCTTTCTCAAATTAATTCGATACATTTACTTCATAGACATCCTTCTCTGATATCTCCATTCTGCTCTCCATTTGCTCTGTTGTCATTGTTTCTTAGTCTTGACACAAACACTGTACACTGTGTGTTATTGGTTTTTGGTATCTGAGCATTTTAACGAGTAAGAGCATCTTGAATACATGAGCACGGTATCGGTGCATCCCTAATTTACTACAATACTGAATCAGTGTTGTTATTGTTAACTACATAAAAATTATTAAAAACATTTTCGGTAATTGAAATAAAGCTGAAATGAAATAAAATATAAATATTATACGAAAAACTAAATGAAAATGAGAAAAGTTACCTTGGCAACTAACTGAAATGGATAACTTAAGTTCAAGTAATAAAATGACTAAAACTAAAACAAAAATAAACTAAAGCTAAATAGAAGACAAGAACTACGACAGAAATATTCAAAATTACAAAATCACCTAACAAAATTAACTAAAATGAAAACTAAAAACATACAAATAAAAGCTAATTCAAAATAGTAATAAATACTATAACAGAATATAAATAATACTGAAATACTAACTGTACTGAATGATAACCATATTCATAAAATGGTATTTATGCATTCAAAAGTATTTCAAATAACAATTTTACTTTAGTAATAAGAAGTATTTGAGGTAAAACGGGGAAAAATAAATTATTTTATTTAGAACAATAAAATCAGATATAGAATATAGAATCGATCTCACAGTTATTTGCATCTAACATATTTGCTATTAGTGCTGCAATCTTTGTTGCAGTAATTTAACCAATGCATTAACTATTGGACAACTATGTTAAAAATGCAGCATTACTGTTAAAAGTAACCTTTAACAATACTTGAATAGCTATGGGCTAACATATAGGTGATGTCACCTAAAAATTCATTTCAGGTCAAGAAAGTTATTATATTAAAATACAAAACCTTTTTTTCCCCTGATAAACAATGCAGAATAAGATAAGAAGGGCCAAGTTTGATTTCTCTCTAGACAACTAATTATCCAAAACACCACATGGATTTATCATGGATTATGGTGTTATTCCAGCTTGGATAGTCGTCATCTTTATTTTTTTAGTGCTTTACTCAATTGTTTCAAAGCAGCTTCACAATATTCACAGTATAGAATAAGGTCTTACCTGAGCATAGAGGTTCTGCTGGGGATAGGCACTTCTAATAGGGTACATGGCCGTCTGGTAGGGGTTAGGGGACGGGGAATAGGGAGGAGGGGCTCCATTGGTCTGATTAGGGGGGACTTTATAAGGCGTTCCTGCAGTGTATCCTAAAACAGAGACGGAAAGAGATTGTTAGGTCCAGTAAGCATTAGGCACACAACAATTGAATATAATAAAAAATATTCCTTCACACACATCCATGTGCTCTAGTTGGATTTCCAAAATCTTGTGCGCCAAACTAATCTAAAGCACATATGAAGTGCAAACACTCACACACCCTTTCAAGTAAGAGATATCACACATTAACAACCAATCACACACACCGACACTTTCTCTTTTTCCACACGCACCATCTGTTAGGCTTTTCAATTGCTAGCGATTTATTGGAGGATTGTAGACAACAAAGTAGTAACAAAAAGCACAAGAACGTGAATTCAGCTGCCCAAACGGAAGTCTTTAAATAAATAATACATTGCTTGAGGCGTTATTAGTTAGACAACACACCAAAAGATTCCCTAAATACCAAAGAAATGCTATCAGTCATTACTTCACATTTGGAGTACACACATTGATGCAACACACCCGATTCAACTGTCTTTAGTCTAGCTTAGCCACTCCTGTCTAATTCAATCCCACAACACAATTTTATGAAATCTCAACTCCAAAAAGCTCAGCTGTCTACGGTTAGAATAAACCTTAGATCTCAGACAGTGTGTCTCCAGTATGCAATGTGAGATTTCACCTGTCACAAACCCTAGTGAGCTGCTAACCAAGACAGCATTTTAAGAAATCATAGGCACATTCTGACACAAAGGCTTAAACAAAGAAAATATGTTATACTATGTTATAATATGTCAACTGTAAGTTTTAATTGACATATATATATACATAAATATATAGACAGTATATATATTTATAGAAACCATATATACAAAAAACAAAACTAATAAATGATAAAAAACAATAACAAACTAAAAAAAAAAAAAAAAAAAAAATGAATTCAAAATATTTATAAAAATTATAACAGTATCACATTCACAACAACAGTAAAATAACACATTTTTGACCAAATGAATATATCCTCTGCATTGAGGACAATCCCAGAATGCATTGTGAAAAATAATCCAAGCGAAGAGAAGGCGAGAGAAATCTTTCAAAATTAATTTGATATGCTAATGTCAAATTTGACTGAAATCTCCAGAAAAAAGTCTCCAGAGCACTTTATGTCAGTTGCTGCCTATGTAGAGCGTTATAAATCAAAATCAAAATTGATATAACATTGTCATGTGATCAACAAAGGACTAAAAAAAAAACCCTTGGAATATTGCATTATTATTTAAATTATAACAATTAATTCAGTCAATACAGAAGTATATTACTACTACAATAATTATATTGTACTATAAAAATAAATAAATAAAGAATTACAATAATTATTTTGAATAATAATAAGAATCAAAATAATCAAAAAATGGATTTACGGAATTCACGTGGATTATACTTCAAGCCAGAAAACAAAATGTATAAATAAATAAATAAATAATTATTAATAATTATCCTGATCCAAATAAAAATATTTTAAAATAAATAGAAAAAAAGGGATAAAAAATGTTCCATTTCACTTAGGATGCTGCCTTAAGCCGGAGACACACTTAACGACTAGCGGAAACATTCTAAGACTGAACTGAACACACTTACAGACGGTTTCCAACGACTGCAGCAGATTTTAAACACCAACTGTGAACATTGACTAAACGCAACTGTCTCTGACTTGGGCATGATCAGTCGTAAGTATCAAATTACATTCATAACCAGCCTCACTTATAGACTTTAAGTGTGTCCCCGGCTTTAGTCGGGAGTTGTCTATGTAGGCAGTATGCAGCAGTGCAGCTCACTAGGTTTTAGAACAGAGCTCATGGTAAAGTTTGTTTACGCATATATGTGTGTGTGTGCGCGCTCTGGGGAAACAGAACAATGAGAGCAAGTGTTCTTTATAGGCAGTATGGGACTCTATAGCTATGTTCACACTGTCAGTCCAAATCCGATTATTTGTGTATCTGATTGGAATCTGATCTAAATTATTGACTGTTCACACTGTGTATCACAATTGTTCAGATCCAATTTGTGTGTCCAGTGGCACTCTTATGTTTTCCGGATTATCTGCATTGGTTTCTTTGGCAATGACGCTGCATTGGTAGGCAGGCGCCAAAAACAACAACAACAACAGCAGCAGCAACGTGTCTTATTTATATGAAACAGACAATGTGTCCAGTATGGCCGAGGCAGAAACGTAAGAGGCTGGTATGAGCGGCTTCATTCCGTCCTGTCGTCTCCACCGATCTCAAAACATGTCACCATTGTATTGCAATTTTCTGCTTGACCGAAAACTTTGCAACAACACAACCTTGTTTCAGCAGCAACTTTCAGCATGTTTCCTATAATAACTTTGTTTCTGTTTTCCGTGGCGTGAGAAAGTGACAAACCACGCAAAATCCGATTGGGGTGGTCAGACTTGAACCGATTTCCAGAAATTTCAAACCACATATGAATGTAGCTCAAAACGGATTTGTAAAAAAGCATTTAATGTGATTTTTTTCCCGCACTTGCTAAATATCAGATTCCATTCGGATGTGCACAAAACTCTGATTTAGACTGACTGTCTGAACGAGGCTTATGGGAAAGGGTGTGTGTTTGTGTTATAGAGTAACAGGGGAACACACAGCAGTTACAGTAGAGTATAGTAATCATATTTACTGAATGCTGTAGATGAGGCCTGGTACTGCCTGCTCTCTGAGCCAGCGTCCACGGCCAGGTCATAGGAGCCTTCTCCGGGCCCCGGAGCAGATGCCGTCTGGGGCCAGGCCTGCTTCACCAGCAGCACTGTCCCAAACAAACACAACACAAGAAGGGTTACACATGACTGTCGCCACATCGGTACCCTGACTGTCCTCTCCTCCTCTCACTGTCCCTCTGGATCCTTGTATTAACAGACCGCAAAGGTAGGCTTCCAGAAATAAAAATACTACTCACAAAAAAATAAAAAATAAAAAAATTATACAGATCTACCATAGAAACCATTGATTTCAAAATTATTTAATTGCTTTCACTTTCCAAAATTCTGAAGCAAGAAGAAGCTGAATTTATCATGGAAATCTTTACAGTGGTAAGTTTTCCAGGTTAGTGAAGCTAACATTACCAACCTAGGTATCTAGTTACCTAATAAGGGATGTGGCGTTGAATGAAAGACATTAATGCGCTCTATTAGGGATTTGAATGCTTCTCTAAAAGCAATAAAGACAGTTCAAGCAGTAACACATGCACGTCTAAGTTGAATTAAAAAAGGTCAAAATTCAAAACAGAAACTAAAAAAAAAAAAAAAAAATTTGGTTAAAAAAGATTTTCTATTGAAGAATGACACTACAAAATTGAAAACCATTAGCTACTAAAATGTATTTACTGAGCCTGTTGCCTGTGAAATTCCTTGCACAGTTCCTCATTTGTAAGTCTTTTAGGATAAAAGCGTTTGCTAAAATAAATGTAAAATGCAAATGTATTGTAAATAAACACTCTGGGCTTGCAATTGAAAGCTGGATGGTTCAATTCCCATTAAACTGAACAGCAGTGCAAATCAATGCATCCCACTCAATGGATATATTCAAAATTAAAATACTAGGTTACTGCTTACAGAATAGTATGGTGTGTATGCATATATCCTGCCTAATATTTGTTAAAAAATAGTAGACATATAAAACAATAGGCATTATACAATGATAAACGTGTTGTTACACGTGAGTGGTATCATTTTCAGCTTAGATATTAATGATTATTTTCCATAATTACTTCCATTTTATGTATTTGGCAGTAAAATATTAAAGGAATAGTTCACTTTAAAAATAAAAAATGTATCTTTCAAACCTGAATGAATTTCTTTCATCTGCTGAACACAAAAGAAGATATTTTGAAGAATGTCGGTAACCAATAGTTGATGGACTCCATTGACTTTCATAGTATTTTTTGTCCTTCTATGAAAGTCAATGGGATCCATCAACTGTCTGGTTACGGACATTCTTCAAAATATCTTCCTTTGTGTTCAGCAGAAGAAAGAAATTCATACAGGTTTGAAACAACTTGAGGGTGAGTAAATGATGACAGATTTTTCATTGTTAAGTGAACTATTCCTTTAAGTGACAAATCGCATAATAGAAGAGATTGGAAAACTCGCATACAGCGCAGATGTGCCAGAACGGTTATTTTGCACTTTTTGTGTAAAAAAGTGCAATCCAGTTTTGTGTAAAATGTCTCTTCAAAAAATGAATCTAGAGGGACATATTAAAAGTAAATCATGGTTGGTAACTTTCATTCATTTCGCTAGAAATGGAAGATTAATTGCAGTGCATTGTCAGATATTCAATACAGTCTGCTACAAATGTACTGTATGCTATACATTTTGGCAAATGTAGTAGGTCAAATGTGGATTCTGTGCATACAAAAAACTGCATGCTGTTCATGCCATTTATAAAGCAAACAATAGCATTAGTAATATAGCAGGATGCTAATCCATAATGAATGCATGTGTTGGCATAGAGGTTAAATATCTAAGCATGTCTGATGAACTATTGCCTTTAAGAAAGCCACAAATTCCTGGATTGCTCCAGAAGGATTGTCCCGGTAATCATATTACTGCAAGTTACGTCAGATAAACGCATCAACAAAATGATGAAAAAGTATCGAATAGTATGTCTTCCTTCCAAATGGAGCAATCCTTTAAGAGCCACAAGGGGGCGATGGTACAAAGTCATGAAATGTTACCAAACACGAGAGCACAGAGGGACAAAGAGAAAGAGAGACTGCTGGAATCACACAATGGCATCAGTGCCGCATAGACGCCTCACACATGACATCACTGCAGCGGTTCAGTGCTGCGTTTTATGCATGCATGAGGGCTTTATGTGATTCAGATCATTCTTATGATGACTATGATACTTATGATAATGATGAAAGTATGATACTGTAGGAAGAATAGTGTGAAATATCCACACATTTAAAGGGATAGGTCACTTCAAAATGAAAATTCTGTCATCATGAATTTCTTTCTTCTGCTGAACACAAAGGAAGATATTTTGAAGAATGTCAGTAACCAAACAGTTAACTGGACCCATTGACTTCCATTGTAGGGAAAAAAATACTATGGAAGTCAATAGGTCCAATTAATTGTTTGGTAACTGACATTCTTCAAAATATCTTCCTTTGTGTTCAGCAGAAGAAAGAAATTCATGATGACAGAATTTTTATTTTGAAGTAAACTATCCCTTTAATATAAATGTAGAGGTTTACAAATAGTGGATTAGGGCGATATAGATTGGAAAATATGGCTGAAAACAGATTAATCGCAGATAATCGCAATAATTTGAACGAAAACATTCCACTAAAATGTAAAATAGTTTTGAACCTTATTATAAAATTAAGAATGACTTAACTGAGAATATTTGACAACTATTAAAATACATAAAAATAGCCAAGCTTTAATCACTAATCACTTTTTTTATTTTTTATTTTATTGTCATGTGAAATATATAAATGATGTACAGGAAATGGAGAAAGAAAAAAGTGACAGAATCAACTTTCAAATGGCATTGTTAATAGGTTGACCGATTTTGTCGATACTATAAACTAAAATTGGAAAATATGATCAGTCCGATCAGAATCAGACTGATTAAATGATGATAGCTAAAATCAATAATATGAATGAATAATAAGAAAAAGCTAAAATCAATAATATGAACTTTCTAATCAATGTAAAATAGTGCTAACCTTTATTAGAAATTTAACGACTTGAAAAACAACTTGAAAATGACAACATTTTGTAATTATTAGTATACATTAAAATATTGCTAAGCTAGTCATGACTACTGAAACACTGACACTTTTATTATTTTTACTTCTATGTCATTTGGAATATATAAAAATAAAGTTCAAGAAATGGAGAGAGAAAAAAAGGGACAGAAATAAAAATCGCATCGTATTGTAAAGAATAAGATATGAACTAAAGGCAAAGTACTACAGCCAACATTTATTCAATCTAGAGGTATTTTTTCACTGTTTGGGGCTTTTTGAATTGAAAGACATCAGCTGTAGTTGTTTAAATCAGTGGTTCTCTTCTCAACTGGTTTTGCTTCAGGTCCCAGATTTTACATTAGACATCAAGTGGCGATCCAACACAGGGCCAAAATTATTACGAAAACAAAAACAAAACAAAAAAACAACCTTTGATGCCAAGTATTCATTGCATAAAATACTAGAGCTGCTTTTTTTTTGTTTCATATAGAAACGACGATTCTTCCCAATGCTTAACAGACAAGAGACATCTAAACAAAATAACCTGTAGTCTAATTTACTATAGAGGTTCTGACGAAATGTTAATTGCTGCAGTCTATTAACTTGAATGAATGATTCAATGACTCACTCATAAATACTTCACTTGTTTAAATACTGGATGAATCAGCATTTTTAAATGATTCAATGACATACATTTTTAAGTCACTTGTCACATTTTTAATAGCCACTACTGGTGCAATGATTTTTGAATGATATTTGAAGGGACAAGTTGCTTTCAAAAAGATTTGCTCTATTGCTCTATCCGTAGACATCAGTGTTTATATACGAACTATAAACATTTATCCCAGAACTTCTGAATATTTGTAACAGAAATATCGATACTGTGTGGTTGAAAAGAAGCTGTTTATACCTAAAGGCCTACATGACAACTGCTCTCTCTGGCTCAGCGTCAGCACAGATTTGAATGTTCTGGTGTGATCGTCAAAGGTTTGATAGACATAGATGAATCGTTGTCATTTAGGAATGAGATCGTGCGGGTGTTTGAATCGAGATCGCAATCTTTTAACGATTAATCGTGCAGCTCTATAAAACACGGTAGTCCGCACAAACCATGTCCTCATTTTTGATCTGTCCATTTAGCATCTGTCTAATTTAAATACCTTTTACCAAATGATGAATTTGCACCAAGACATGGTATTTTATTGGACATTTGACACTATTTGACAGTGTCCTTGTTACACGTTACATGTAGTTACTGTACTAATAACTGTAAATGATGCATAATTACATACAACTAACCCCTATTCCTAACCCTAACCCTGTAGTAAGAACAGGTAGTTAATTATTATTACTCAGTACTTAAATGTATAATTACACTAACAAGAACACCTTAAAATAAAGTGTAACCCAGAATTTACAGGATTTTTTTTAAAGCAGATCATTTTCTATCCCAACTTGCTCCCATTTAGTTATATTTTTATTCTTTGCATTTAGCATTTGATAACCACTGGTCTTACCACACAGACTATTTTTGTAGCATATATTTTTAAAGACAAAAGGATATTGCAGAAATCTTTGAGGTCCACATGCTTTTCGTGAAGATATTGGGTGAAAACCACAGAAACTTGAGGAGAAAGTGTGACACATTGTGTGAAAGTAGTGCTGGTCAACCAAAACTACAATTTTCTGATATCTGATATCATATCCAAGCAAGCCAGTAACTAGATCAAACATCAAAATATGAATATATAACAGCAAAATGTCAACTTGATCTCTGATTTAAGAAACAGCCTGTATAAACATGTAAGAATGTGTAAGAGTGGCAGGTGGCATGTCATATCCTAACATTACAGAGGAAATTATACAAAAATGATATCAGTTCAGGGCGGCACTGATCATATTGATCCTATCACAGACCTCACAAACCAACTCCACTAGTGCACCATTTACATCCTGATCCAAAATGTGATCCAAAAATGTCTGCTTACAGCACAAATCCAGTTTTTTTTTTTTTTTTTACAAAAACATCATGCTACAAGTTGAGTCACACATAGTCGACTCAAACAAGCCTGTTAACAAAAGACTACTGGGAAATTATCTGCACTAAGCCAACCTTCTTCACATGACTCATCCTCACTGCGTCTGGTTTCTCTCGAGACTGAATTTCACACTCAAATCATGCAGATGTACAACTAAAAACAGTTTCAAAGAAATTTCTAAATATCATTATTCTTAAAACAACTTCCCAGATCGAGACGGACACATATTTATTGACCAAAATCATTTCAGGGAACAGCTCATTACTGAACAAAACACAATTAGTGGCCTCGTACATCAGAAGCTTTTGAGATGCACTGTTATATGAACACAAATAAAGCCACTTTTCTAATCATTATGAAGATTTATTGTATACATTGAGTCAGAGCATTATGTCACTAGTTGGAACCAGCACTATATAACAGTAATATGTTGTTTAATTGTTAAGTTAAAGGCCAGGATCATCAACATGAGGCTAGACAGCATTACGCATCAGGATGTGTTTGTGTTTGTGAATACTGCATGCGTTTCATTGGTGGAACACTACCATGTGTAAATGTTTGGTCTCATATATTTTGCTAATGTAAGTGTGTATTATGCCATATTCACTGGAAAGTTTGGAGGGTGTACATACCTGGTGGGTATCCTGGGCTACCTGTCTGATAAAGGTTGGCTGTGTAGGTCGGGGCAGTTGTATGATAACCTCCGGGATAGCCTGTACACATGCAGAGAGACAACGATTTAGAAATGACACTAAAACATAAAATCAACATTAGCAATTAATTGAATTGATCTGCACTGGTCAATTACACGCATTACAGAGCCGATGTGTCAGACTTGCCAACATATAAACAATTTCTCAAAAACAAGATAAACAATTTTTATTATTAAATTATATTTTGTATACAAAGTATGGAGTCTGCAAACGTTTAAGAAAAGAAAAAAAAAAGAAAAAGATCTGTCTCTTATGTAGACAAAAGCTGCATTTATTTGATCAAATAATACAGGAAAAACAGTAATATTGTGGAATGTATAGCCGTTTTCAATTTGAATATATTTTAAAATGTAATTTATTCCTGTGATCAAAGCTGAATTTTCAGCATCATTACTCCAGTCTACAGTGTCACATGATCCTTTAGAAATCATTCTAATATGCTAATTTGCTGCTCAAGGAACATTTCTTATTATTATCAATGTTAAAAAAAGTTCTGTTGCTTAATATTTCTGTGATTTCTTTTTCAGGATTCCTGGCATTTATTTCAAATCGTAGCATTATAAACGACTTTACTGTCACTTTTGATCAGTTTAATGCATCCTTGCTGAATAAAAGTATTTTTTTTCTTTGCATAAGGTTATAAACAGCAAAAAAGCCATGCCAAATATTGAAAAACTTAGTGGATAAAAATTACATTGGTGTGTAAGCTAAAAAAACATATCAAAGTTCAACAAGAAAAGCAGCTTGCGCACACATAATAGTACACGATTTCTTACAAAAAATACTTTATTTAGGCCAAATGCAAAGACAATTTTCGATTCACATTGTCATGACACTGATGATGTGAATTCGAAAAAATGTCTTTGCATTTGGCCTCTAAATAAAGTATTTTTTTTATAAGAAATATGTTTCTATTATGTGTGTGAGCTTCTCTTCTTGTTGTGCTTTGGATAAGATTATAAAATAGCTAAATAGCTACTTAGGCTTTAGTTTAGAACATAATCTGGCTCCATTCTCACATTGAATGTCCACTTTTTTTTTTTTTTTTTACAAATCAATCCATTTCCAATTGGATACAATCAAGTCCTGTCCAACCTTTTCAAGTTGAATATCCTGTTTCACTCAGCAATACAATAGATTAGTAAGTAACAAGTAACATGTTTTTTTTTTAGAGAATCACCAGAACATAAATTAACAAAAGCAAATGCAGATTCATTTTTATAAACGAAAAGGCTGTTACTATTTCCAGATATTCTGATCCAAATCAAGTCTCTGTAACCTGTGATATCATAGGGAAGGACAAAGAGAGGGAGAGAGAGCGAGGTGAGCTCTTTATTGAACAGGAGGAGCACAGATGGCATCCATTACGACATGTCTGTCTCAATAAGACACAGTCGGATGAGTGTGAAACCCAGTGCATCGCTCCATACTGAACAGCAAGAGCTGTCAGACGTACAGGGCATCATGGGAAGGGAGTATCCAGGTCTGGACAGCTCAGTGCAAGGGATGGATTATATAAACACTGGAGGATGCAGGAGAAATACTGCCGAAGGAGTGAGCATGTGAGGACCTGCTTGATCATGTGTTTGGTAAAGGAACCGTTCACCCATAGATGATGACAGAATTGTCATCATCTATTCACACACATACAGTATATGTCTATTTGTACATAAAATGAGATATTTAGAAAAATGCTCAGGCTATATTTTTCTATGTTGAAACCTGGAATGTACACATAAGCAAGAAGTTCTAATTGACTTGCCAGAGCATTTCTATCCCAAATAAAAAGCAAAGAAAGAGACTGTTTGGATTTATATAAAATGGTAACACTTTACAATAAGAGTCCATCTGTAACATTAAGTAAGGTTAATAAATGCCATAATAGTATTGTTCATTGTTAGATCATTAATTTTTAAAGTTATAAAGTTTAAAGTTATAATTAATATATTAATATTTATTTCATTAAATATGTACAGTACATTTTTTTAAGGTTCAGCACTGTTTTTTTCTTTTAGTAATAAAGTTTACAGCACTAGATTACTTGGAGTTACATTTTTATTTTATTTTATTAAATATCCATTTTATAAATTTAATCGGTTAATCAGTTATCGGCCAGCGTGGTCCAACCTAGTTCCCTTATCGAGTCAGTCCCTCGATCCATTTTCCTCAAAATGCTGAAGCCTGATTTGAATAACTCCTTTGCTTGCAAATAGCCAATGGCGACCTCGCCTGATTGGCTGACAGCCTCCAATATAGATGACGTCGGGCGCAAAAAAACTCTGAATCTTTCTTCTTCACCTGGAGCCTGATTTCGCCGTAGATTCACGCAATCAGAGTGGACAACGTGGAATATATCCCCTCTCGCGTTCCGGCGGATTTTTGGCCAAGAAACCAACTAAGATGTCTCTTTGCCGCATGTGTGGTGGTCCTATCGACTTTCCGGATGCACACGAGCAGTGTGTGCTGTGTCTGGGTCGAGCCCATGCAGAAGCGGCTCTTGAAGGATCAGGTTGTCGAGCCTGTGAGGAACTCCCAATCAAAATCCTTCGCTCAAGGCTGGTCGTTACCCGTAACTGTGGCCTCATGACTCCTGCCTCTCCTCCGTCCGCCGCCGTTGAGCCGCGGGCCGGGAGACTGCAGAAACCTCCGTCAATGGACTCAGTCGAGGAGTTAGCGTCAGCCCAACGCCCACGCCGCCCTCACGTGTCAGAACCTCTCACCTATGCTGAGGCTAGTTACCACCCTCCGAAGGAAGCGCAGGAAATGGCCTCTTTCGGATATTGTAAAGATGACACCATGTCCACGAGTGCCTCCTCTCAGAAGCCACCCCGGCCTCGTTGGACGCGGAGCTCATGGCTATCCTCAGTGAGGCAGTAACGGACCTGGAGCTGGACTGGGCAGCCCCCAAAGAACAGCCGTCTAAGAAGTGGATTGACGGGTCCTTCCTCGGCGCGGACGCCCCGCAGAGACCTGCGCCTTTTTTCCCTGAGCTCCACGAGGAGCTCACCCGGTCATGGCGCTCCCCTCACTCAGCCCGAGCCCATGCACAGAGTACCCAGCTGCTGACGACAGTGGAAGGGCAGGATAAATTGGGCTACATGCGACCGCCTCCTGTCGAGGACGCCGTCGCAGCCCACCTGTGTCCTTCTCCCGGATGGAAAACCGCCTCGTTGCCTTCCAAGCCATGTCGAACAACTGCTCACATTACTGACAAGGCATATATTTCGACTGGGCACACAGCATCTGCCCTCCACACGATGGAAATCCTGGAAGTCTTCCAAACTCGACTCTTAGGGTCCCTGGACGAGGAAGGCCTGGACCCGGAGTCCCTCAGGAAGCTGCGCACGGCGGCAGATCTGGCTGTGGCCGCCTCTAAAAAGGTTGCCCAGGGAATCGACTGCAATATGGGCAGCCTCGTAGTTCTGCATCGCCATCTGTGGCTGACGCTGACTGAGATCCACGATGCAGAGAAGAAGCAGCTCCTGGATGCCCAGGTAAGCCCGCTGGGTCTTTCCGGCGTTGCGGTCGAGGCTTTCTCTGAGAAGTATGCCGAGACTTTGAAGCAGTCGAAAATGATGCCGCATCTCCTGCCAAAACGGTCTCACGCCCCCCCTAGAGCAAGGTCTAGATCGTCCTCTGCTCAGCGTCCAGCTGGATACGTTAGGCGCGCGTCCCTGAGCACAAGAGAGCGCCGCGAGCCTGAACCGCCGCTTCGTCAGAGGCAATTCAGGAAGCCCCGTTTCGGTGCGAAACCAGCTTCCACCAGCCAAGGGCGGCGCATGTCATGATCATGATCATGTCAGAAGTATCAAAACAGAACGCTCCGCTGCTACGGGCAGAAATCTCCTCTCTCCTGGCCAAACAAGCAGTAGAGGCAGTGCCCGAGGAGCAGAGAAATTGCGGGTTTTACAGCCGTTATTTTCTAGTCCCGAAAAAGGATGGAGGTATGCGCCCCATCTTAGATCTAAGACTACTGAACAAAGCGCTCGCGAAACGCACATTCAAGATGATTACGGTGAAGCAAATCTTTGCGCACATTCAGCCCGAGGACTACTTCATTGCTGTGGATCTAAAGGATGCGTATTTTCACATTTAGATAGTTCCGCATCACAGTCGCTTTCTGTGTTTTGCATTCAAAGGTGTGGCATACCAATTCAAAGTGTTACCGTTCGGGCTGGCTCTAGCCCCCCGCGTGTTTACAGTGTGCATGAATGCAGCGCTCGCACCCCTGAAGCTCAGTGGGATGCGCGTGCTGAACTATCTCGACGACTGGGTAATCATCGCACAAACAAGGAGCGCTCTCGAGGAACACAGACGTAGGCTCCTCGCCCACTTGACGTGCCTGGGACTGTCTGTGAACATGCAGAAGAGCATGCTTCAGCAGTGTCAGTCTATCACCTTCCTGGGTATGGTTCTGGACTCGCCCATGATGATCGCGCGCTTATCAAGAGCCGAGGATTCAGTCCATTCGCAATACACTAGCCCTCTTCGTTCAAGACAGAGCTGTCCCCTTGAAAACGTTTCAGAGGCTACTGGGTCTGATGGCAGCCACAGCCTCCGTCTGCAGACTGGGCTTGCTGCATATGAGACCACTGCAACACTGGTTGCAGAACCGAGCGCAGCCGCAGGCGTGGAGAGCGGGGACAGAACGCCTTGTACGAACAGGCTGCTGCTATGGCAGAGTGGTCAGACGGGTAGTGGTCACTACGGATGCATCACTATCAGGCTGGGGAACCCTTTGTGACGGCAGACCAGCATTCGGTACATGAGCAGGGGACCAGCAGCGCTGGCATATAAACTGCTTAGAGATGGAAGCGGTTCATCTGGCTCTGCAGAGCTTCCTTCCGTTCGTGAGAGACCATCATGTTCTCATCAGAACAGACAACACGGTGGTGGTGGCTTACATCAACCGACAGGGAGGGTTGCGCTCGTGTTCCCTGCAGGGCTTAGCGAGGCAGCTGCTCTTGTGGACGGATCGGGGACTTCTTTCGATCCGAGCA